AAGACTACCCATGACTTGGTACCCCGAATCGTTCACGAGCGTGCCCATGAGTGACATGAACCTGCGACCCGACCCTACCCGCAACTATTCGGGAAGGACTTACCGATTTTACACTGGAGACACGATATACAATTTCGGATACGGACTAAGTTACACGAGCTTCACATACAAACTTCTATCAGCACCTAGAAAATTGAGTCTTAATTACTCTAGACGGCGGAGGAACATGATGTATTATAAAAGAGGCAAAACCGTTGATTATGTCTACATTGATGAGGTCCCAAATTGCAGTTCATTGAGATTTCAAGTGCAGATTGGGGTGACGAACAATGGGGACGTGCATGGGAATGAGGTGGTGCTATTATTTTCAAAAGCAGTTACAGATCTCAAAGGCTCTCCTGAAAAGCAGCTAATCGGGTTTGAGCGTATCCAATTATTGTCTTATGAAGCTGTTGAAACTACATTTGTAGTTGACCCCTGTCGACATTTTAGCTTTGCAGACGAGCTCGGGAATATGGTAATGCCTACAGGTGATCACATTCTGATGTCGGGAGGTTTAGAGCATGTTATTTCGGTTAACGTGTGATGAATTGTTTTAAAAATTACCATGTCCGGAAATTGTTTGCACTGTATTTTTATTGCCCAAGAAAATCTGGGACTGTAATTGTAAAATTATCGCCAAGTCATGAACGATTTTGGATGTGATGGTCATTTTAAAAGCACATTTGTATAGTATTTGAGTTCTATCAGATTATCTCAATTAAACGATATTTATGTGGCCACACCTTTGACAAATGTGCATATGTCCATTAATACGTTGTTGTGTGATCCATCTTTCTTTCTTCTCATTCTCCTTTTTTGTTATTGTTAATAATAATTATTAGCAATAATTAACCGTATTCATAATTCATGACTAATGCCAGCAAAGCATCTGTACAGTACAGTTCTTGGTTGATGACAATAATAGTGAAACTCAGACTGCAGACGTGTGCTGTACCAGCTCGGGCATCTACGTGTTTTATAACTTTTGTTTTAGAACTCCCATTTGCTCCATTCTCTGATTATCATTATTTTTTTTTTTTACTGTTACGATCGTACTGAAAAGTTTCCTTAAAACATGTCATAACAATTAAAAAAAAAATTACACAAAAAAAAAAAAAAAATAGTACAATTACAAAAAATAATTTTTTTAGTTGGTGACAAAATGAGTCCAAATATGCTCAATTAAATCGGCACAAAGTTGATGATCATTGGGTTATCTCGTATGTCTGAACTTCTACGAATATAATATTGAAATTCTCAATTTGAACCCTCCACAGGTTGTGCAGGATCATTATTCTCTTTATTGTGCCAATGTGTTACTACATCTCCTTCATCTTTGACTGTGTGAGGGATAGAAAATATAAATGGAATGAGTAGTACCAAGCCCAAATATTTTTCACATGATTTTTTTTTTTTTTAATTTTTTATTTTTTATTTTTTTTTATCACAACTTGCTCTCGTATATGTCCTAAAAAATATCGTGGCTAGCTTTCTACTCAAGAAACTCGTCCGTATTGTGTGCTGCTTGAGAAATCTGTTCACTTCCGTGCAACTCTCTTTTTTCTTGAAAATCACGTGTATTGCTTGGTCTTTATATGCAACTAGTAAAGTGCACGTGGTGTTGAATGTTTTTGTCGATTAAGTTTAGTAAGATAAATCAATTAATATATATTTATATATATATATATATATTTTAAAATAACATAATAATGTCCTAATATAAAATGATTGAAATAACATATTGCAACCCAAACAAAAATATATGAAAAATGAGTAATGGAAAAAACACTAAATAACTAAACAAGAACCTAATGTATATTATAGATGTATTTTCTTTTAATAATTATGTTAGATGACTAAAGAGTGATTTTCTTTCATTTTGGTTTTGACGTTCTCATAAGAAACATTCATACCCATTAGAGCGCAATACATCAATAGTACTGCAAAATTCTTCTTAGTTCATTTGACAAAACGTATACTTTATTCAAACACTTAGAAAAATTCTGGCTAGACATGCATATAGTCAAACTTCATTAATATAGTCGTTATAATATATTTATACTAACAGTTCATAAATATCTCTGTAAAATAATCAACCGTGTCCTGAAAATTACTTATATTTTTTTAATTGTATAAACTAAACATTACTCTCTCTCTCTCTCTCTCTCTCTCTCTCTCTCTCTCTCTCTCTCTCTCTCTCTCTCTCTCTCTCTCTCTCTCTCTCTCTCTCCTCTCCTCTCCTCTCCATGTAGATAAATTGTTACATACCCCACGGAAGCATCGCCCATGGGTGAAAACAAATTTCATCTATAAATAAAAGTTGACTTTAAAAAATCTTGGTTGCTTGTACTTCTCTCGAGACGCTAAATTATTTTTTTAAATCATCACACATTACATGAAAGTACGTACTCTTAAGTCATTGTGCATATGTTCGAGCACAATACACCAGTATGATCGTAAATATTTCTACAAAAAGTGACAACTTATTCAAACATTCAAAAATGTTTTGATCAGACTCCAGTATTAATTTTCAATGTTATTTATTTGAAGATAGACGAACTGCATAATTTATTGTTCGCAAATCATGCATTGACCATCATGATTGTTGCAATGATTTTAGAGTTGTTTATCATAATACATCCACATTCGTTCGGCTTTGCAATAATTATGTGTTTAATAACTTCTTCAATGCTTTTATTGTCCAACTTTTTGCATCATACATAATGCTTCAAAAATTCAAGATAAATATCCTTACTTGATTCTTCAATATTGACAAAACAAAACAAAATAATGAGACATTATTGAGAAACATATGATTTGTCAAAATATTTAAGAGGAAAAGAATTAGACTTCTATTATATTATAATACTCTTAGTCATTTGTGAACTTTATTATTACGAAGTCATTGTTCAAGTTGATTGTATGTATTATGATAATATATCATTATTTATGAGAACCAATTTCTTGGAAAGTCCATATACTTAAATGCTACCAACAAATAAAGTAGTAATTTTAAAATATTTTTGTTTCTTCATATTGGTATTTATATTTCTTTGAGAAATTTCAGACTTTTTATTTTCCCCTTCGCGTTACTATTGTTATTTTTTTTATTCTATTTAAAAATAATATTTTATTTATTGAAAGAATTAGAGCACATATAATAATATACATATATAACATTTTTGTTTGTACGAGTTCTATATAATGACATGACATTGTTATTAAAATATTTTATTTATTAGGCTACGACTAATGTAATCACATACTATAAAATAATATTTTATATTACTTATTTATTTATTTATCTATAGTAATAACATATTTGATAAGAAAAAATTACTTTTGTATTGTTTATAACGGGTCGAGGGACCCCTTAATTTTCACTTTCGTCCCCCTCCTTAATTTCCTCTTCCGCGTGGACCCAAAAAATCAGTAATCCATGTTGTCACAACGCTATCTAGCTCACCCCATTACTTTCTCCACATGCACCGCCACATCATTTCACAAAACACCTACATTAGTCCTCTTAATTTGCCAGAATTATGAATCTGACCCTGCCCAAACATTTCCTTTTAAATCGTGATTGTGTTAACAGTAGTTTTATGATACAAGCCGTATAGTTTTTAATTTTTCAACGAAGTTCTATATGAACAATTTCTTTTATGCTTGTTGTAAGTCGTAACACTAGTATCAAATAGTGTCAAAAATCATATTATAAAGTCATTGTAAGTTGAGATAATTTATACAAAGTTGGACACTTATATTTTCTCACAAGTCTTTCAAATGAAAATATCATGATCTAAAATATAACATAAATAAAAGTATAACATTTTCTAAAATAAACATGCATTTTCACATGAAGATTTGTTATAATTAGATTGATTTACACAAAATTTTTTGTTTATAACAAGGTTAAAAAAAACAGGCATTTATGAAATGATAAAATAAATTAATTAGAGCCCACATTATATTCACATATATATTCTGATTTTCAAAGTCAACATTGGAGATAAGAAATAGATAAAAATAGAAAAGAAAATGTATTATTACTAAATGTTAGAAAAACAAAGTAAAAAATACCATATTTGGAATAGTTGATCATATACATGTTTTATTAGGAAAAGTTGTATGGACATATTTGGAATGAAAGATGTCATTTTCCTGTTTGGGTGCTAGTGTTATTGTGCTACTTCCTCTTTCATTTTTCATCTGGGTTTAATGCACCAAACCCTCTTGTATTATACGAAATCTGCGCGTTTCCCCCCTGTATTTTAAAAATTGCGTCAGACCCCCTTCTATTAAGGTTTTGTATGCGCGAAACACCCAAAACTGTCTAAATTTTAGGTGTTTCGCGCATACAAAACCTTAATAGCAGGGGGTTTGACGCAATTTTTAAAATACACGGGGGAAACGCGCAGATTTCGTATAATACAAGGGGGTCTTGTATATTTTACCCCTTTTCCATCTTCTACTTTCTTTGAAGTTAAATTTTTGTGCTCGTGTTATTGTTGAACAAATTTTAGTAAGCAAGATTTGTCCAACGGATTATTCCTAACAATGCGGGATGAAAATTTCAAAATGAGATTACATTCCATATAAATATGTATAAATTCTTTCATTAATAAATAAAATAATAAAATTTTGTGATTGTATTGTTAATTTGATGAACAGCGTACTCGAATTTACTAATTATAAGCACCCAAACCCAAACAAAGTACTTTTCGCAATTTAAAAGACATTAGGGTAGATTCTCGAATTATCAAAACTGTTGGGGTCTTTCCCATTATTTCTCAAACATTTAATAAGTATATTTATTTATTACTCATCACACCTCAGTCTCAGATACGATACGGACTCCACAAACAAAACGTCTTTGATTTCAATCCTTTTCAGAATCTTTCCCAAAAGTTATTTCCCCTCAAAGGACTCTCTCAAAACACACACACACACACACACTCATGGAGAAGCAAAGCTCCGGCCTCATCACCAAGGTCAAATTGCTCTGCAGCTACGGCGGCAGAATCCAATTCCGGCCGACCGACCGCCAGCTATCGTACGCCGGTGGGGACACGAAGATCCTGGCCGTCGATCGCGGCGTAAAATTCTCCGAGATGGCCGCCAAATTGAATTCCCTCTGCGAAAAATCGGAGGTCTCGATCAAGTACCAGCTTCCCGGAGAGGATCTGGACGCCCTTGTCTCGCTAATCGACGACGAGGATGTGGAGCACATGATGGTGGAGTACGACCGCTTGCAGAGGATCTCGCCCAAGCCTGTCCGGCTTCGGTTATTCCTTTTCGATCCGGCGAAATCAGGGGCGGGCAAGGACTCTGTTCCGGTCACGCCTTCGAATCCAGACTATCTGTTTGGGTTCGATAAGGAGTATGAACCCAGCGTCGAGCCGCCTCTGGATCTGCTCCAGATTCCGGGTATGGTTCTGCCCGATAATAACGGGTCGGTTCGGGTTGAGGGCAAAATTGGGAATATGGTGAGCCAGGTGTCCGGCGTGGCTAACAATGAGAGCGTGGGCGGGGCGACGGCGGCTCCTTGGGCGGTTTACCGGGTGCCGGCGGTGGTTAACGGAGGAATTTGCCATGCCGCGCCTTATGCGTACGGGATTGTGCCGGAGATGGTTAATGGCAACCGGGAACGGCCGGTGTATAATTTTATTCCGATTATGGCCCCGGCGATGCCGGAGCAGATGATGATGGTCTCGAGGGGGAATACTAATCTGATTAATCAGCGTGATTTTTGACCAATTAAATAGTATTGTGTGTGGATTTATTAGTACATAGGAATTATTGAGTCGGTAAATACTGGGGTTTGATTTTGCCTTTGTTTTTTTCTTGTTCAGTTTGTGTTTTATTTTTGTTATCGTTTAGGATAATCATCGAGCACTTTGGTGGTTAATTGTTCGTTAATATATCTTTTGAGCGTGTTCTTCTTCAACTTGTTAGAGCATCTATATCAAAGAGATCGTAAATTTATTGTGTCACTTTATTCAAAATCTCATTCTTATTCTACACTCATAACTTTTTAATAATAATAAACTTGATGAACTTACTTTTTAATGGGTCTTACATATTTTTTTATTTATTTTTTATTAAATTAACACTTTCATATTTTTAATAATATTTTAAAAATACAACTTTGTTATAAAACTAGAGGAAAAGAGACAGAATATAAATAATGTATTCTCTTATGTACGATTTTCATTATAACTGAAACTCTTATTTATAGGAAAAGTTTTGATGACACAAAAGAGAAACCACAGTGTTTTTAGAGAGGTGGTGGACCACACTTTAAGAGGTTTATATTTGCAAACCTGGTTTGTGTTTACAAACCTCAAACCTCACTTTCATAATAGCAAAACCTCAAGGTTAGCATTTTCAAACCTCTCCCTAAACTTATTGTTAAAGGTGCCCTTATTATTTTTGGGTTTCTTAGTCACTGTTTTTGACTGCTTTTTGGTTCAGAAGTCAGGTTGTGACATAATGTGTTTGGAAATTTCAGTCGTTTAGAATTTTTGACTATAGAGAAAGGTGATTATGGATTTGATTATTCTGCATCTCAAATCTCAATCTTTGAAATTGGTAGGTTTAGGTATACACAGAAATTATATATTGCGGCATTTCTAACTTGATTCACTAACATCTGTTCAAAATGTATAACACTATTTGTGAATAATTATTGATTGTTCCATAAGTCGTGTCATCTTATGACTCTATAACAAAATCTTAAGTATACATTTGTTGAGATAAAGATATAAAATAAAATACTATTAAGTAGATGATGAAATTCCATACAGATATTCACATCAAACTATTAAGTAGTACATGCGATGCACGGGGTAATAATGATTAATCGTACAAATTAAAAGAGTGAATGAATATCGATTATTATAAAAATAGTTTTTATTAATTTTATCATAAATAATAGTTTAATATAATTTATATGTTTATTTGAGCCGTTATAAAATATTTGTCATTTTAAGTCACTCTTTAGAATTGATGAGCATGAAAATGTAACATATTCAAACATTATCAATAAGTAATATTCACAAGTATACTTCATACCTTATTACAATATATTATTTAATTCCTAAATAAGTAACAATAAAGTTAAAAAATTGCGACTAATAGTACAAACTTTCAGTCCGATCAAACCCAAGAAGAAATAGCACTTGCGCCGAGCGAATACTGGTGCTGACCTCCTCAGGTGTGGCCAGTAGAGAGCTATCTAACCATAGGCACTACAACCTCGGTGATGAGGGAAGCTGAAGTCGTCGAAGTAAGGACTTTGATGTGCATTCTTCCATCTTTTTGGATCCTTAAACCATATCCCGGCGAGAGGATTCACAACCTGCCGAGAGACTGCATTGGGGTGCATAAGAAGAGCATGACCATGGGTATGAGATTTCCTCTGCTCGGCCTCCTCACAGGGGTCGTGCTCAAAACCTGGGTCGACTTCAGTCAAATCTCGCTCATCACCTGGGTGAAGGTCATAAGTTTGATCATGCTACTACAATGGAAATGATGGTCTGCCTCTACTCCCGAGGACATCTTCGCGGTCTTTATTTTCAATGAATCGGCCATAAAGTCTGGTTGTTACTATTGCTCGGTCCTGTTGGGTTCTATTAGGAACGACAACAACATGCACATTTGAATTTGGCAAAATAAACTCTAACGAAGTGGAATCTATAGTTAGGGTTAAGACGTTACTGTTTAAAAATTTTGTCGACTCAGAGACGTTTCTGATTTCCTTTGATGGAGATCGTCTGATTACCAGAACTCAATGGGCTGTCGAATCTGGCTTTTCTCGATTCTGATCGAGTCCTTAAATCACAAACGGATCACCGGATCGGGCTCGGGCCAGTCAAATCGTGTTCGGTTCGTCGGGTTGACTCGGTCGGACCCAGGCTGACTCGGTCGGGCTGCGGCTCGACTCGGTTCGGTCACGTCTCAGTCGGTGGTGCAACGGCTGGGCTCGGCCACTGCTGCGGGTCACGGACAAGGCGCTGGTCGCTGGCAGGTACGTGTCGGGTTAGGACGTGCGGGCAGGAGAACAGGCGCAGGTGGTACGCGGAGACGTAGGGCGCGTGCGTTGTTGAACCCTACTCCTGGGAGGACTGGGTGCGGCCGGCTGCTGGTCACACGCAGGCGGTTAGACGCGAGTTCCTCGAGGCGGTGCACGTGCGCGACAAGGCAAACGAGCGTGCACGAACCTCGGGCGGTGGCGTGCGGCTGCAACAGACGGGTGGCATGCGTCTGGTGACGTGCGGCTACATGTGGCTGGGTGTTGGGCAGCTTTCGGCGACGGCGTACGGCCGTGGCGATTTTCGAAGGCTGTCGGCAGCGGCAGACGGCGGCGGTCGAGGGTGGTGGATAGCCGGAAAAATTAGATATGCAAGGTTTGAACTATTTCACTTTAGGATCTTCTAATGTATTACCTTAATACCTACTTCGACTAATCTTGATGGTGCGATTAATTAAATCTCCCAAACTCTCGAATATGCTATGATGGTCAATTTTCTTCTCTTAGGAAGACCTCAAAATTGACTATCACAAGTATGTGGGGAAGAGGTTGAGACATGATGTATTTATAGGCTACATTAGGGACCTTAAGGAGGTGCTAAATATGGGATTATCCCATTAGGCTTAGGATGTTAGTGTTATATACTGAAAGCTTGGCTTTGCATGTTATTACACATTTACCCTTTATGAATGAGAATCATATTAGATTAAACAAGTTCTACGTTCTGTTGTTCTGCATTTAGATAGGGTGGGTCGTCATCGGGCGAACCGAAGGTCACTCTATCAGTCACTTGCGAACAAGAATAGTTGTTCACAACCTAGATGAACATGAACACCCCATCCGAACTGTTGTATGTCAACTGTACAGTTTGTCTTGACTGATTAGTTGCACTAGTACATTTATGTATTGAACAGGATTCCAGAGATGAGAAGTTCATTTTATACTGATCGTCGTAAATGAACTAGGCCTCGGTTAATTATTGCGTTCTCTTAATCCGTAAGATATTAAACAGGCAGATATATATAATGTATATTACTTTGATTCACATGGGTGTGGTTCAGTTCGCTGGATTAATATTCCTACTGTCTTGGGTAACATTATTATATATAGGATGTGCTGTTAGGATATTTACGGTCACCATATGCGTTAGTTTGATGATGTCCCCGGAGTGAATTCATGAAGGATTGTTATGCTAAACCCTGCAGGTGGATTAAGTTCCGGCATAATAAGAATGTGATGAACAAGCTTCGATGAAATAATAATAAAATAAATAATTCTTGATTGTCAGTAATTAAATTAATTAATGTACATTATATCTTAAACGTGGGGAGGAAAATCGAGTAATTATTATTGGAGTCTCAAATGTAATTTGGGCTAGGAAAAGGGAGTGCAATAATATAATATTGGTGGCCCATTAATATTATTTAATCAATTAGAGGAGTGGGCTTGGCCCACAGTTAGTATAATTAATTAAGAAGCCCTTTTCCTAATCTCCTAAGGGTCCCTACTGTAGCTCTATATATACATCATTAAGTTCATGAGAAGAGAATCTCAATCTCATTCTAGCGAGACACGCCCCACGCCTTTCTCTCTCTAGATCTCATTCGAGCTTTATCTTCTTCTTGTTGCTACATTGGTACAAGTAGAAGAAGGGTGTATTGAGTAATACAGTAGAAGATCTGTAGGTAAACCGAGACGAAATATATTTTGACCTACAGAACTAACCGAAAGTCTGATTGAGACGTACATCATACCCAGACGACCGTCTCGACGAGAGCTTTCCATCGCCGCCGAGATCGCAGCCGTCCGACACCTAACGTGCCCTCACGCACCGCCGGAAGCTCCCAGGCTGCAAAGTTTCGTTTTGATCTGTTTGCATTCGTTTGATCCGATTTTGATCTGATCTTGTTCGTGCAACCCAAGACGTGATTTGCGGTCAATCAATTGCGGTCAACCGTTCGTGGTCAACCAGATCTACATAAATTTTAAGCCGTAAGTTCTCTACGTCAAACCTTTAGATCCGCTGCGCATAGGTTTACGTTTGCTATTGAATTCGTGACTTGTACATAACGAGATCATCACAGATCCCAACAAGTGGTATCAGAGCACTTGGTTAATTCGTTTTGTACAAAGTTCGAATTTTTACAGCTTTACTTGACAAGATGTGTTCAAACGCAGCCATATATTGGATTATATTTGCATAACTCGGTTTTGCAGGATAAATAGTTAATCCACTATTATGGCTGATTATGTGTTTGATGAATGTTGTTGGATGTGATGTATGGTTTTAAATTTATTTTTAAAGCCTCGGGCATGTCGAGGAATTTATGGATGAATGTTTGTAATAATTATTCGCCCGGAGGTTGACCGGATAGATTTAATTATTTGTTTAAAAAACATGTACATCCATTCGTTGGATCTAGGATCGAATTATATAATTTTGTAAATTATATTTTTCGTGTTATGATCTTGTGTTGATGACCGGGAGATCACAAGTGATCTACGACCCTCGAAGAATAAAAAAAAAAAAAAATCGGTTTTCCGACCACCGGTGGCCGGGCGGTGGCCAGAGGCGGCGGTGGACGGCGGCTTGCAGGAAGGTGGAGAGGTTTTGCCTTGATGTCCAAGCAGTACAAGATCAACCAGGATTCTACTGCTTAAAGGAGTTCCAGTTGAACAGGGAAAGAACTGTCACAGTTTTCTTGTTTAGGGAGACTCAATATTTTTGGCTATAATAGTGGATTTATTTATTTATTTAATTAAATTTATTATGCCATTAAATTATTATTTATGCATGTTAATTAATTATGTTCTTGCATGAGATTAATATAGTATTGCAAAATTAATTATGCATGTTAATTAATTATGTAATGCATAGGATTAATTAAGAATTGTGTCAATAAATTATGCATGTTAATTAATTATTGCAATGCCATGGATTAATTTAGAATTGCATAAATTATTGAACATGTTAATTAATTATTGCACTGACATAGATTAATTTAGAATTGCATGAATTAATATGCATGTTTATTAATTATTGCATTAACATAGATTAATTTGGAATAGTATAAATAGTTCAAAATCCTCATTAAAATAATACTAACTTTGAGAAGGAATTTTAAATTAAAGTTAATTGTAAAATTCCTAAGGCCTCCATTTCTAATTTGTCGGTAAATCAATTAATTGCGGTTATGGGCTCCCCTCGGGTGACCTTGCTAAAATTAATTGTAGGAAATTACCAAGACAAATTTCTAATAGTAGACGGTTAGAGGAAATCTTATGAGAGCGTACGGGCTTCTCCTCGGATGACGTATAATCAAATTTGACGACCTTAGGACCAAGAAATGGGATTCACTTAGAATGCGATTAAATTTATTAACCGTCCTCGGGGTCCTGAATTCTATTGCATGGCCAAATGGAGACCGACTATTAATTTCGTTCGTCATAACTTTGGTTTTAACTTATGAAAATTAATAGGCCTTAGAAAAGCCCTTCTCTTACAAAATGCGAGTTTGTAGGACGACCCTCGTAGCATGCATTCTCACAAGGTGTAATAGATGTCGGTGGATTTAAGTTAATGTTGTTTTGAGGATATCAATATTAACAGTTAAATTCAAAAGTGTTTAATCTGTAAAATTTATGTGCATGATTCTCAGGATATTCATCATGTTGTTCAATCCGTTGTCAGTCATTCTAAAAGAAAATCAGCTTACTGGTCCTAATTACATTTATTGGAAGAGGAACTTAAACATAGTGTTGACTGCTGATGGTTATAAGTTTGCTATCACTGATGCGTGCCCGGCGGTGCCGGCGGCTGATGCCCCTGAGCAGGAGAAAGAGGAGTATGCTCGGTGGAAGAAGGCTGATGAGATGGCGAAGTGTTACATTCTGGCTTCTATGTCGAATGTTCTTCAACATCAACATCAGTCTAAAGACACTGCAGCAGATATACTTCTCAATCTCAGGGATCTGTTCGGACATCAGTCTAGGGCTGCTAGGCAAGAGGCTTTGAGTGGTCTGATGTGTACGCGCATGGCCGAGGGCACACCCGTAAGGGAGCGCGCCCTTAGGGTTATGGTGCAGCTCAATGAGCTTGAGGTTTTGGGAGGTTATATTGATGGGGAAACCAGGTTGATATTATGCTCCAATCTCTGCTGAAGAGTTTTGATCAGTTCCGGTTGAACTACAACATGCACAAGATGCATATGGCTCTTCCAGAGCTGCTTGTAGAGCTACAGTCGGCAGAGGCCTTATTCACTAAGGCACCTCAGGTGCTAGTCGCCGAGCAGGCTGGACCTTCCAGGCCTCACAAGGGCAGAAAGAGAAAGAAGTCTGCGGGAAAGGCGAAGGATGCTCCGGTTTACCAACAACCGGCCCCTCAAGGTGTGGCAAAGAAACCGAAAGGAAGATGCCACAAGTGCAACAAGTCAGGACACTGGAAGGTCGACTGCCCTCTCCTCAAGAAAGGTAACTCTCTCGTTAATGTCGTAGAAACATGTTTAGCAGTTATATCTACCAGAACCTAGTGTGTAGATACTGGAGCCACAGATCATGTCTGCAATTCTTTACAGGGGTTCCAGGAAACCAAGCGACTTAGGGAGGGAGAGATCACCGTCTACATGGGCAATGCTATGAAAGTGGCGGCTGTTGCAGTGGGAGACGTTACTTTATCGTTTGATAGTAGTAGTTTGGTTTTGCGAAATTGTCTTTATGTTCCTAGCTTTAGAAAGAACCTTTTTTCAGTTTCTAAACTCGTTATGGATGGTTTTTCAGTTTCGTTTGATGATATGGTTATTATTCGTTTTGGAAATCGTTTCATATGTTGTGGTTCATTAGTTGGCAATTTGTATGTTCTCAAACCAAACTCTCCCACACTGCAACATAATGAATTGAATAATGTCATAACTACATCTAAAAAGAGAAAGGAGTCTTCGCAGATGAATCAAGCATATGTGTGGCACCTTAGACTTGGGCACATTAACCTTAAGAGGATTCAAAAGTTAGTGGCTAGTGGACATCTCGGTCCATTGGAAGAGCACTATCCAACTTGCGAATCCTGACTGGAAGGTAAGATGGCCAAGAGGCCGTTTACGACAAAGGGCTATAGGAGCCAAGAAGTGATAGGATTGATTCATTCTGATTTGTGTGGTCCTATGTCGATCCAGGCTAGAGGAGATTTCGAGTACTATGTGTCTTTCATAGATGATTACTTGAGATTTGGGTACGTTTATCTGTTGCACCGCAAGTCCAAATGCTTTGAGAAATTCAAGGAGTATCGGGCAGTTGTGGAGAAGCTTCATGGTAAATGTATTAAGTCACTTCGTGCTGATCGAGGTGGCGAATACCTCTTTAGAGAGTTCAGGACATACTTATCGGAAGCTGGAATTGGATCCCAACTGACTGCACCCAGCACGCCCCAATAGAATGGGGTTGCAGAGCGAAGAAATAGGACTCTTATGGAGATGGTTAGTTCTATGATGAGTTATTCGAGGTTACCAGATTCGTTCTGGGGTTTGGCATTGGAAACAAC